TAAGGCTAAGGCTAACATAGAGCAAGGCTAGCGCTAAGGTTCTATCCCTTGGGGGTCGGCGGCTGCAGGCGGTAGCCTGGTAAATAACATTATATATTAGGGAGTAGATGCTAAAGAAAAACACATAGCAAGTCGATACATTGACATACAATGACCAGTCGTGTATGATCTAATATTAAGCAAATTGCAACAACAACAACAACAACAACAACCACAACCATAAATTGATGCCCTGTTCACCCCATAGAGGGCCCGGAACCCGGGCTCCTACCTTCTCAGCCCGAAATTCGGACCTACCTATCCCAAACAACCACCAACAACCCATCAAAACACCGAACCTGTACCGGAATACCATGGAGGTCGGACTGGAACCCCCAACTACTCCAGGACTCTTCGCCGGTCGAGTCCCCACTAACCCAAGTGTCCACTCCCCTGTGCCGCGGCGTTGCGGCGCACCACCAGGCGCGCCAAGACCAAGAGCGACGCATTGAAGGTCGCAGCGACCCACAGGACCTCCCCACCTGCCACGTGCCGGTCGCAGCAGGACGCGGACGCGGAGGGGCGCGAGTGGCACTTCGAGGTTCGGTCGACCCAGATCTGCGCGCCGGTCGCTCTGGGAGGACCGAGGTCGGAGCGAGGTACACATCGGAGAGACTGAACCCGGAGCCAAACCGATCGTGGAGCGTGGGTTTCCTGGGTATGTGTATGAAAGGCGGCTATACTATACTCATGCGCGCTGGGAGACAAGTTGGAATCATTTCCAAGTTGAATTCGATCACAGTGAGGAGGAACTCAGCCAGCTGAGCTTCTTGCTTGCTTTCAGGTGGACCTCTTGAGGATATTTCCATGGAAGATCATGGAAGAAACAAATTACTCATAATCAAGATCTTCCCCCATGAGAACCACCTGAAGTAGAACCAATTGCTTGATATTCCATCCACAGGCCCCAGGCAGGCATCATCCATGTGTCCCGGAATCGGCATGGACCTCCAAGTAACCCGCGCAGATGTCCGAGAGCCAGGGCGGCCGACTGGATGAAGTAGCTCAAGATGCCCAGCAAGAGCCCAGTACAGCAGACGATCTGGACCTTGAATCAATCCCGGGCGTGTGCCAGCTCACGCGACCAAAGCAAGTCCAGCGTTCCACCGACACCGGGCTCACCCGGCCCACAGATTCCGGGCACTCAAGTGGAAAAGGCTTTGGAGGACCCCTGCGTTTCGGTGTCGGATCCAGAGTTTGGGATTCTGCCGGGATGCATGGATCCACCGCCAGGTTCGATGGCCAGAAGCAAGTTCGGAAGGTCTGTGCGAGGTGGAGAGTTGTTTGGGGCGGCTTGATCCAGCCATGCATGTTCCACGAGTTCTGATTGAACTAGTTTTCCAGAAACTCTGATTGAACTGAACCGTGTCTGTTTCGCCGTTTTTCTGTGGTTGTAAACCCTCCGCGAAATCGGACATACCCGCTGAGGAGGTGATTAGAGACACTTTTACATAGGCATGGAAGGTAGGGAATGGCTGTCAATCCAGATCAATCACCTCCAGTCTTAAGCTGCTTATAAGCTCTCTCGCTGGACTCTCTCTTCCTCTCTTGAATATATAATATATAGCTGCTAAGATTAAACAACTCCAAAGGCAAAATCTGAAAGTTGGGCCCAGCAGCATAGGCCTTGGAATTCCCAGCATTCTGCTCTTGGAAAGTCCTAAAGGGCATTGAAACACCAATTAAAATGACGCGAACAGGTTCGAGCCGTGCGAACTGAATCAAAATTGATTCATTGAGTCACCGAGATTTCCAAGACGGAGTGTTCTTGAGGGGCCCATTACCTCATCAAAGAATCGCCGTCGGATAATATACATGGGGTACCCAACCAATTTTTGTGAGACTCTGAGATTTCTGGACTGATTACAGATCGTGTGGCAAACTGACTGACTGACTGACCTGCTTCCCCTGCTTCAACATGAGATCCAATCTCTCTCACACAGCACTCCCGTGGATGATTCTAGGCCATGGGTAGGCCCCGCTGAACCCTGGCCCCGCTGTCCTGGCTGCCTGGCGGAACTTCCCATGAGCCTCGTGAGCCTCGTGCTCCTCATGCGCCTCAGACCTTGGGAGTGACGGGCGTCGAGACCCGTCGACATCGACATCGCACGGTGGAAGCACCATTTTGAAGCACAGCTGTGCCGCAAGACAACGACCGCGACCGCAAGGACTTTCCCCTAGCCAGCGACTAAGTCGTAGATGATTGGATATGATTGGACAGAATATATAGGAACTAATCAGAACTAATCAGGTGAAGTAAGTGGTATCATCCTGGATGCCGCGTTAATGAATTAGGCTTGCTAACCATCCCAAAGTACTCCACCCAGAATCCGCAGCCCTCTGAAGTGCTCATTCCCGTAACCTCCACGGCTGCTTCACGTCCCAGGCACAACAACGCTTCGCCACTGGGAAAGGCACCCATGGCGGCACCCGGCACTGGCAGTGTTCGCGGCCAAAAGCAGTGTTCGCCCCGTGAGGATGTGGTTTCGAAGAAGAAGCTCCCCTGCGCTCCCGAAAAACTCACCAAGAAACATTGAGCCAGTGGGACCCGTGGGATCAATCATCTCAAGTAAAGATAGTAAAGGTGTTCACACCTATACAGAGCTTAAGTGACCTGAACTAGGACCCGTAACCAGGGGTAACTATAGGCTATAGGATAGTCTAGTTCGGGTTCTGACCCACCTCTGCTGGCATTCAACAAATCTCTAAAACCGCTGCCGGTCTACGGATTCCCTCGTAGCTCCAACTACTTGGAGTCCGATGCTGTGCCTCGGTACGGTCGTCCACGGACCGAACCGGTGTCGAACCGAAAAGACTGAAGCCTGGCCAGGTGCAACCCAGTAGAAGCTCCTTTGACCTCATTGAGCACGTGGAAAAAAAAAATATGAACTCTATAGTCAAATGAGCTCAAACTGACCTGTGGGGTCTGGTGCTCTGAAATGGCTTCAGGCCCGTGCAGGAATTTGGAAAACACATTTGGTCATGGATAGAAGTATGTTGCCACTTTGACAGGTTCCAATGCTATGATCATGTATTGAACCATCTGTCGGTTTAACAGTATGTATATATGCTCAACAAATAGTTCCGTTGCCATCGTTATCATTATTGACGCCAAGTCATTTGAGCTGTCCTAGCTGTCTTGCAGAAACCTAGACCTCCTGAAGCAAATACTGTTTGCTTGCAATCGTGCCTTGGCTCTGCTTGAAACTAGCATGACAAAAAGACAAAACAAGTTTAGGCCAACGGCCAACATGGACTGAACTCATCTTCTTCAATGAAGTCAAAGTCTACTACTGGACGAGAAGTACGGTCCCTTACCAAAGCACCACCTTGCAGGGCTTGTCACTCTCATCTCATCTATGATTCCTAGCAATCCCACACTGGACTTTATGATCTTTATGCAAACTCACATCAGACACGCGGATGCTTTTTGGCTGTTAAAGTACATCCGCGTGAGAGAATCCCAGACTCCAAGCCACTACACAATCCTAGACGCCTCCTGCGTAGTCTTAACTCATGTAACACATGACCCCATGAAGACATGACCCCATGAACCCTTGCACCCTCCTGATCTTCTCCCCATCTTCTCCCAGATCTCGCTGGACTACGGCGCACTCCAGCTCATGGGCTTCCAATTTGCAGAACTGCTTGGGGTCTTCGTCGGGGTCCGCCGACCTCGCGCGGTCGGTACGGAGTTTCCACGGGTGCGGAAAGGGGACTGAGCGAATTACATTGGGAACATATTGGGAACATTTATACCCCTACACCAAACAGTCATATGAGTACTCATCACTCAATAACACCTCATTACTGTACTCAGAATAATATGTTCAATTACATTGGAGTACTCATAACATCTCCAAACACCATCCATGCGACTGCACCAATGGTCCTTGGGAATGATGGACTCGAACGCGCGGGCGAGGGGAACGCGCGGGCAATGATGGCATCGATTCCAAGTCTGCACTGTTTGGTTCATAGTACAGCTAGTCGACCTTCTCCCATAGTCTCATGGAGGTTCCACTTTCAGCTCTAGAGCTCATCAGCAGTGCTGGGAGGCGAGGTGACAAACGGTGCCCTATCTGGGAGCATCCCTTTCTTGCTCCCTGGAGGTGCTTCCCTGGTCACTTGATGTCACAGTTAACATACTGGTGGTTCAACAAATGAACTGTTTTGGGATCCAGGTCGCCCGTTTTGGGATGAGACCCATGTAGTCTTGCTCTCAAAACTTGTAACCAACAAAATTCCCCATATGAGTTTACCCTGTTGACATTCTATTGGGCGTACCCCGGCCTAGCCCTACCTACAACAGTGTAACAGTCTTTGTTGTTTGATACAATGGCTCTATAGGCTCGAACCAAACTCTATGTGTTGCTTCGGGCCCGGATTCTTAGGGTAGAACATATCTGAAAATCAGAGCCTGTGGCGTCTGATTTCTGTCACGCACAGCTCTTTCGCGCCCCGACATGAAGGCCACGATGTCAAGGGCGGTGAGTCGTGTTTGTCGCCTGGAGAAGCAAGCGTTCCGCGTTCCTCCAAGTTTGTCGATGGATGAGCGTTCCGCACGTCTTCTTCGATGGGAGGGGTAGAGTGTGCCATCCAAATCTTCTGGCATCCCTGTGATTGAAACACGCTTTCTAATTCTACTCCCCAATAAGTATATATTAATGTTCTAAACATTGTGGCTGGCGTCTGGATGGAGCGTACTCGGAAAAGGACAGTTTTTCTGCATGAAACACCCCAGCAAAGCCAGCGTGAGGGAGGATCTGAACATAGCTAAGTGGACTGATCAGTCACCTGAAGACCATCCGACTAGTGGATCTGTGTTGTCTCACACCTTCTTTCCAGCCCAAAAAGTTATGGACATGTCATGTTCTTTGGGCATATTAATGCCAAACACTGCAGCCCAACCTGCCCACACCCCAACTCACCCGGGCGGCCTAGATGAGACAAAGATCAAGGTGGGTTTGATGCCATCCTTAGCATCGAGCCCTGGCAGCCATACCACGCAACGTCAACCAACTCTCGCGGACCCGCGTTCCTTCTTTTTTGGTAACCAAGCAAAGTTTTACTTGTTGGAGTCACCAGAAAGGAGGAAAAGTAAAGGTGAACCATCTTCGGGGAATTTGTTGGGTCATATAATTCAATGAAACACCATGCGTATTTTTCATCACAATCCCTTTCGCCGGTGTATCCAGCAACAGTTTCTTCATCGGAAGTGGTCCCAGGTATGTCCAGACATGGCCTAATTCCGGTGTTGTTCTTGTTTTTTTGGAATGAAATTGGTAGGATGATCAGATCTATTCAGATCTGCTCAACGCCTGAGGCGTCCACCGGATGGCTCACTTTCCTTGGTGCCCCCCGCATGCTTCACTGCATGGTTCTTGATGGCATGGAAGCAGGGCTTGTTCATCTGAGCCATACGAGCTACCTGGCGGTCGTGGCGGTCCGGCTACCTGGCGGTCCGGTGTGGTGAAAGTGCTGGTGGAGTTGTAGCTTGGAGGATATTTGTATTGGTTGGGTCAGTCTATCCATGGTCTATCCTATTACCTGGTAACAGTGGATGATAACTGTTTACTGACTGTTACAGGTACTAGGACAACCCCCATGTATCGGTAATCAGCCTGTAGTTGGAACAACTGCCATCTGGAGGCCACACCAGCCTACTTGTTCGATCTGAGCAGTTGCTTCAATCCAAACACAAAGAAGTAACAAACCCCGAAGGACAAAAACAGGTAGTTGTTGTTGGCATGTATTTCTTTCGTTCGGTCGCTACCTGTCTGGAAGGAACCAAGAGTTGACTGATCCAACACAAGCCACGCTTGAGTTTGTGCCCCGGAATTCATACGCTTGGGCCCAAGTAGTTTTGGGGGCCTTGAACCTCCAGTTTTGAGACCCCCCAAAACGGTCTGGCTTCGATAGCCTGACCCACTCTGATGTGTTCGGAACCCTGGCGTTCCCAATTCTTACAGGGCAATCTTCACCCACAATGCAGCCTGCTTCCGTGCAGAAGAGAAGTTCAGATCCCCACTGGACACCGTTTCCATCTGTTTGGCGATCCCTATAACCCTTGTTTTGGGGGAAGAAACATGTGCAAAAGAAATTGATGACCTCGGATGAACACCACACACGAGGAAAAAACATCTGAGAGATGCACTGCTGCAGGTCGCATTGCATCCGAGTTGCAAAATGTTTCTCTGGATAGCCCTGGATGTGCGCAGTCATTGGCACGGGCCTGCATCCGAAGTGCAGAGGTCACATCCCGAATCTGGATGAGAACACAATTGACTGACAAGAATCGTTTGGTTATAACTGGACTCTCATCTGGGGCCCCATTATGTTTAACCTGCTGACATATAATGCGTAAACTCGACGTAAACTACCACCAAAAGCAACAACGCCACACTCGCACTCACACAGTTTAATCTTGCACCACGCCCTTGGCCTGTTATAATTGACTTGATGCAGGAGATAAACCTGTTTTTTTCTCTGGAAACTCAGTCCCGTATTACTATTGACCTCCTGTGGTTCTTGCACAGCTTAGTATTCAAGACTAAAAAAAAAATCTTGGATCCCCTGCCCTGGACTCAATATTCAAGATTGAAGATTCAAATAGAAGATCTTGGATCCCCAGCCCAAGAGTTCAAGATTCAAACAGAAGTTCAGTTGAATCTTGAATCCAGGGCTGGGGATCCAACAGCCTCTGATTGAATCTTGAATCTTGAACCCTGGGCTGGGGATCCAAGAGCTCCTATTTGAATCTTGAATCTTAGACCTTGGGCTGGGGATCCAAGAGCTTCTA